TCTTTTTCTCTGACCCTCCACCTTACCAAACATGATATCTTTCTCCAGCTACTGGTCCCTCCTGACAATATGTCCAAAGTATGAGAGATGAAGTTTGGCCATCTTGGCCTCCAAGGAGCACTCTGGCTGCACTTCTAACAAAATGTATCTATTGGTTCTTTTGGCAGTCCATGGCACTTTCAATAGTCTCCTCCAACACCGTAAATCAAAACCATCAATTCTTCTACAGTCTTCCTTAATCACTGTCCAGCTCTCGCATGCATATGAGGTTATTGAAAATACCATGGCTTGAGTCAGGCGCACCTTAGTCCTCAAACTGACATCTTTGCTCTTCAACACTTGAAAAAGGACTTGTGCAGCAGATTTGCCTAATGCAATGTGTCGTTTGATTTCCTGACTCCTGCTTCCATGAGTGTTGATAGTTGATCCAAGAAGAATGAAGGCCTTGACAACTTCAATCTGTTGTTAAGAATGTTGTTTATTGGTCCAGTGGTGAGGATTTTTGTTTTCTTTACATTGAGATGTAATTCATACCGAAGGCTGTGCTCTTTGATCTTCACCATTAAATGTTTTAAGTCCTCTTCACTTTTAGCAAGCAGGGTTGTATCATCTGCATATTGTTGTTGTTGTTGTCAGGTGCCATCGAGTCGGAACCGACTCACAGCGACCCCATGCACAGCAGAAGGAAACAATGTCCGATCCTGGGCCAACCTCACTATAAGTTCTTAATGAGTCTTCCTCCAATCCTGATGCCACATTTTTCTTCATATAACCCAGCTTCTCTGATGATTTGCTCAACATACAGGTTGACTAAGCATGGTGAAAGAATACAATCTTGTCACATACCTTTCTTAATTTTAAACCATTCAGTGTTCCCATGTTCTGTTCGAACAACTGCCTCTTGGTCCAGGTACACATTCCTCATAAGCATAATTAAGTGTTCTGGAACACTCATACTTTGCAGTATTGTCCATAGCTTGTCATGATCCACACAATCGAAAGCCTTTGCATAGTCAATAAAGCACAGGTAAACATCTTTCTGGATATTCTCTCCTTTCAACCAAGATCCATCTGACATCAGCAATGATAGCCTTCATTCCACGACCTCTTCAGAATCCGACTTGAACTTCTGGAAGTTCTCTGTCGATGTATGCTTGCAGCCATTTCTGTATTAACTTTAGTAACACTTTACTCGCATAGGATATCAAAGATATTGTCCAATGATATCCGCATTCCTTTGGGTCACCTCTCTTTGGAATGGGCACAAATACGGATCTCTTCCAATCAGTCGGCCAGATAGTTGTCTTCCAAATTTCTTGGCATAGATGAGTGAGTGCTTCCACTTTCTTGAAAGATTTCCATTTTTATTCCATAATTCCTGGTATCTTGTTCTTTGCCAATTCCTTCAATGCACCTTGCACTTCTTCCTTCAGTGTCATTGGCTCTTGATCAGATGCTACCTCTTGAAACTGTTGAACATCAACCATCTCTTTTTG